AAACTGGACAATGTGTCAGCCTCACGGACAGAAACTGGAAGTTGGTTCCACAAGAGAGGAGCATGATAACTGAAAGATCTGCCTCCCATTCTGTTTTTGGAAACTCTAGGAACCACAAGTAAACCTGCAGTCTGAGAGCAAAGTGCTCTGTTAGGAAAGTAAGGAACATCTGGATTTGACAGGGAGCCAATGGCGAGAAGCTAAAACTGGAGAAATATGACTTGTCCAATCAACTCTCATTAAAACTCTGGCAGCAGCATTTTGGATCAACTAAGACTTTTTGAAAAAGTTTTTAGACATCCAGATAATAAACAATTGCAATAATCCTGCCTAGATGTAATAAATGCATGGACCAGTTTTTCTGCATCTTTTTGGGACAAGTTGTTTCTAATTTTAGTGATGCACATCCAGATTCTTGTCTCAAGACAAAAAAAAGAAAAAAGAACATCTCAATTAGTACACATCCTTTATGATTGTCTATTATTGTCTTTGTTTTAGAAAACCATGGTATCTATGAAACATTTCAGTCTGGATTTAGAACCCGTCATTCTACCGAATCAGCCCTGTTAAAAGTCCATAATGACATTTCCATGTCCATGGATGTCAAGTGTCCCGTTGCTCTGGTGCTGCTGGACCTTACAGCTGCGTTTGACACAGTGGACCACGCTGTCCTGTTGTCTCGTCTCCAACATTATGTTGGAATTTCTGGTACAGCTCTCAAGTGGTTCACTGCTTATTTGACCAACAGAACGTTCTCTGTCATGCTTAATAATCTGTCTTCCTCCTCTGCCCCTCTCTCTTGTGGTGTGCCACAGGGTTCTATTCTTGGTCCTGTCCTCTTCACATTGTACATGCTGCCCCTTGGATCAGTGATAGCCAAACATAATTTTTCTTTTCACTGCTATGCTGATGATGTACAAATTTATTTACCAATGAAACCTAAAAACAGTAACCTTCTCACACCTTTCGTTGATTGTATTGCCGACATTAAACAGTGGCTTCATCTTAATTTTTTGTTTTTAAACGAAGGAAAGACAGAATGCATTTTCTTTGGTGATGATGCTCCTTGTAACTTTGGTGCTCTGACATCCAAGTTCAGATCCACAGTTAAAAACTTGGGAGTGACATTTGATAAAGACTTAAAGTTTGACAAACAAATATCCTCTGTAGTCAAGGCCTGTTTTTATCAGTTACGTCTTTTATCCAAAGTTAAGCCTTTTTTAAATCGTTCTGATTTGGAAAAGGCCATCCATGCTTTTATAACTTCAAGGCTCGACTACTGCAATTCCCTATATGCAGGAATCTCCCAATCCTCCATTAGACGACTGCAATTGGTCCAAAATGCTGCAGCTCGACTTTTAACCAACACCTCCAGACGTGAGCACATCACCCCTGTTTTATTTTCTCTCCACTGGCTTCCAGTCGATTTTAGAATTAAATTTAAAATTTTATTTTTCACTTTTAAAGCTCTCAATGGTCTTGCCCCACTGTATTTGTCTAATCTTGTAGCTGTCCGTGAATATAGGAGAACACTGAGATCATCTAACACATTTCTACTCTCTGTCCCAAAATCCAACTACAAACGATGGGGTGACCGGGCCTTTTCGGTTGTCACACCCAGACTCTGGAACCAGCTACCTCAGGACTTGTGCACCATCACTGACATGGAGCATTTTAAATCTAATCTTAAAACCTTTTTATTCAGGCAGGCTTTTAATACCTAGTAGGTCTTTGACAATTTTGCTATGTTTTAATTGTTTTTGTTTTTAACTGACTGATTTTTTTATTATTCTTGTTTGTTTTTAACTTCTGTACTGTGCAGCACTTTGTGCACCTTTTGGCTGCTGGAAAGGGCTCTATAAATAAAGTTTGATTGATTGATTGATTGATTGATTGATTGTTGTCCACTGTTGTCATCACTATTTGTTAGAATCAGATCTCTCTTGTAGAAGAGTCCCTGAGGCTCAATGGGATTAACCTGTAGAAATAAAGGTTGAATGAACAAACAAGCTGGTAATCCAAGCAATGCAGTGGATTAATCAAGTTTCATTTATAAATTCAGCACAACTATATTAATTTATTCAGTGCTGTCTATGTCTAATAGCTTTACCTAAATTAAGAAAATATGTCAAGGTATCGGCCCAAGCACTGAACCCTGAGGAACTCCATGGTTAACTCTGGTGTATGAATATGATTCAAACTGGAATCTACCAGACAATAAATATGACAATAATCCCAATATCATGTTAAGCCTCTGTCCTAAAATGTTGTGATCAGTTGAATCTAAAGCAGTTCCCACAAAAATAAAACAAGTCAGTGTCACTGTCAGTGTGTTTGTTATTAGGAGATACACTGTATGGCCCTTAAAAAGTTACCACCTGGATTTAACAAAGTAAATAGGTACGAGCCTCCTATGGATAATTACTGCATGGGTGATTATCTTTCAGCAGCAACAAGTTATTTAACCCAACTGGTGCAATGAGTTGCATCTCATTTCTTAAACAACCATGTTGAAAGACACATCGTGTGGTCGTGGAAAAGATGTCTGTCTGTTTGAGAAGGGTCAAATCACTGACAGGCATCAAGCAGAGAAAACATCTAAGGATGTTGAAGAAACCACTAATACTGTGTTAAGAACTGTCCAACGCATTATTAAAAACTGGAAGGATGGTGGAGACACATCGTCTTTAAGGAAGACATGTGGCCAGAAAAAAATCCTGAATGATCGTGATCGGCGATCACTTAAACGTTTGGTGAAATCAAATAGAAGAAAAACAACAGTATTCAAATAAAGTCCAGTTGTTTTTGTATTGAACGTTTTTTGAATTTATAATGTCCTGGATGACTGAGAATCTTCATCAGCAAAAACAACAACAGCAGCACTCAGGACTGTGTTTAATGGTGAAAGTAAGAGCATTTCCACACACACACAGTGAAGGAACTCAAGGGACTGGGACTGAACAGCTGTGCAGCCTTAAGAAAACCACTAACCAGTGAGGCTAACTGGAAAAAAAGGCTTCAACTTGCTAGGGAGCATAAAGATTGGACTCTGGAGCAATGGAAGAAAGTCATGTGGTCTGATGAGCCCAGATTGACCCTGTTCCAGAGTGATGGGGGCATCAGGGTAAGAAGAGAGGCAGGTGAAGTGATGCACCATCATGCCTAGTGTCTAGTCATCAATTCAAGATCTGGGTGAAAAATTAATGCAACACTGGATGAAATGGATCTTGTGACATTGTAGAAGTTTATTGAAACAATGCTGCCATGAATGCATGATGTAATCAAAGATAAAGGAGGTCCAATGAAATATTAGTGCATGTCCTTTTTTTTGGTGGTGACATTTTGTTTTTTTGGCCAGGTAGTGTATGTTCTTGAAAGAAACGGTTCTTAGGAGATTCTGAGATTCTAGGAAGTAAAACAACACTCATATATTTACAACTCTTATTTTACTTTTGTTTTTCATATACCTTGTAGTCTCTGTGATTATGTGCCTACTTTCATATATTTGATCAAACAAAAGTGATGGTAAAACAATTGTTTTTGCCTCCTAGTACCTGTATGAAAAGTGTTTCACTAACCTAGAAATGGGTTAAATGTCCAACCCTCCATCACTATTCTGATTAATGGCCTAGCATTTTGTGAAGGTTTGCATGTCGCCCGCCACCCACTAGAATCCGCTCACAAACAGAATTTGAGGCAATAATCAGAGTCAAAGTCAAAGTTTCTGTCATTCGCACCACCTATGGTACATGTGGTGGAACAAAAATATGTATGCAGGTTCCTAGGTACATTAAACAATAAAATGCAAAAGAAAAACAATAAGATGTAAGATATGAATTAAGAAAAAAGTTAACTAAATATAGGCTAAGCACTAGTACAAGTAGTACACACCTGTATATGTGTGTATAAAGGTGATCTTCCTGTAGGAAGACAGCAGATCATCTGAGCGTAATATGCATGTTACGCATCTATATGTAGGTAACCTCCTCTGTAGGTGTGCTGGGTATCAGATCATCAGCAGACTCTTTAATTCATGAAACTGGGAGGTAGAACTTGTTTGTCTAGTACATCACACAGTTTGAAGGACATCTGGAGAATCTGAAGGCCAAGTCGGCGTCTCCGACTTGCTAATGTTCAGTTCAGTTTATTTATATGCTGTAGTGCCAAGTCTCAACAGAAGTTATCTCAGGGCACTGTACAAATACATTTACATACATAGAAATGTATCCTCTTCGATCAGCTGGGTTTGAGAGGACAGGAAGGATAAACAACCACAGAGCGGCAGGTCCAGATGTACTGACTATAGGAGGAAAGACAAAAAACACACTTTAGGATAGAAATAATTATAAATACAAACAGGTTGAGCAGAGTAAGTAGAGACAGTAGCAGAGTGAAAAAGTGTGGTCACTTTATCCTCCAGCAGTCTAAGCCTATAGCAGCATAACTAAGGGACAGCTCAGGAAACCCAAGCCAACCCTAACTATAGGATTTATCAAAAAGGAAAGTCTTAATCCCAGTGTTAAAACTGGACAATGTGTCAGCCTCACGGACAGAGATTGGAAGTTGGTTCCACAAGAGAGGAGCCTGATAACTGAAAGATCTGCCTCCCTTTCTGCTTTTGGAAACTCTAGGAACCACAAGTAAACCTGCAGTCTGAGAGCGAAGTGCTCTGTTAGGAAAATATGGAACAAAAGATCTGTAATATAAGATGGAGCTAGGTTGTTGAGAGCTTTGTAGGTTAGAAGTAAGATTTTGAATTCTATTCTGGATTTGACAGGGAGCCATGGAGAGAAGCTAAAACTGGAGATATGATCTCTCCCACTAACTCCAGTCAAGACTCTGGCAGCAGCAGCTCAAACCTGTTGTGAAGGTTATTGTTTGAGCAGCCCCACAGTAATTTCTCTGAAACTTGTCCCCCGTGTGGAGTCAGCTGCTTTGTGTCAGCTCCTGATTGATCTTCTGAGCCCAATTCTAACTCCTGTTAACTGTTTGCCTCCTAGGTCTTTATTTCTGTGAACTGTCTGAGCACAGACTTCTCCTTGCAGAAGGGGGTGAAGGGTATGCCTCTGATAATTCAGATCGACACCTACAGCTACAACAGCTGCAGAAGCCGGCCCATCCACAGAGCCTTCTCTCAGATCAAGGTCTTCTGTGACAAGGCGAGGAGAGCCCGTAGCAAAATGATGTCTGGTCATCAAGATTCAGCAAATGTGGAAAAATAACTTTGTTTTTGTTTCTTTTGCTTTTTTGTGTGCATGTACTGCAGGGTGCTGAGAGGAAGCTTCGTGATGAGGAGAAGAAACAACTCCGGAGGAGGAATAAAGGTAAAAACAGTTTTCTAATAAGGGGAAAATATATACAGTGAACCCTCGTTTTTCATGGGGTTTACGTTCCAAAAAGAACCCGTGAAAGGCAAAATCCATGACGTAGTAACCTTTATTATTTGTACAATTATTATACAATGAAATACTTCATAATGCATTCAAACCAAAGAACAAAACCTTTTTACAGGCCCAAGCATTTGTTTAACAAATAAAAGTACTGTATAAACGATTTTTTACAAATAACTACAGTACTGGAGAGACTGTTTAGCCAATCAGAATGCAGAACACAATGAACGATGCAAATCCATGAAGCAGCGAGACCGTGAAAGGTGAACCGTGCTATAGCGAGGGTTCACTGTATATATATATATATAT